TACTCTTATAGGTAAATAACTTAGAGAAAAATAATAAGCTATTATATTAGCTACTTATTAACACTATTAGTTAGTAAAAGGAGAAAAAATAATAGGCTATTATATTAGTAACTTATTAACGCTTTAGTTAGTAAAAGGAGTATATATATAAAAAAAAGAAGTTAGTAAGCTAAAGAGCTTATAATAAATAGGATATAGTAAATAATTACTAGTTAGCTATAGGTACACAAAGTAAAGGGTTTTTTATAGTTAAAAGTACTTCTCTAAAGGTAATAAAGCTTATATAATAGACGTAAATTAATAAGGTTTTACTAGTTAAGAAGACTAGTTATAGATCTATTAATTAACTTATTATAATAGGTAATTAGTATAAACTATTATAGTAAAAGTATTTATAAAGGTATTTTTTAGTACTTGCCTACTCTAGGCGTATAAATAATTAACTAGTAATAATTACCTCTTCTTATAGACCTTACTAATCTATAGTTTAGATAGTAAAGTTAACTTATATAGTTAATAGTAAAGTTAACTACTAATTAGTATTAGTAATACTAAAGGATAAGTTAATATAGTTAACTATATATATTAGTAGTAATTAATAAATAATAGAAGGTAACTATAGTTCTTTATTATATATAAAAAAAAGAAAAATAATTATTATAGGTTAGTTAGTTAAATAACTAACTTATTACCTATAAATTCTTAGAGAATCTATAGCTAAATATCTAAGGATTTGCTAGTAATAAGTCATTAGGGTTAACCTAATAACTCTAATATTTATCTATAATAGTTAATATTATAATATATATATTTACTAAGAGTATTATTATTTATCCTTTAGTTATATATAAAAGTAAAATAGTCTAGTAGTAATAGTTTTTTCTAGATCTAGGCCTATATAATAAATAAAAGTTTATAATAATAAAAAATAAATAGACTACTAATATTACTACTATTAAATAGCTATAAAGAGTTTTTTTTTCTTAGACTAAGCCTTTTTAGCCTAACTAGGCTAAACTTTTTATTTTAAATAAGTATAAAAGCTATATAATAATAGATTTTATATAATTATACTATACTAATAATATTTATTTTTTATTTTTACTACTATATACTTTTTATATTCTCTAGCTACTTAACTAGTTAGTTTTTAGCCTTATTAAAGTAGTATATTAAAAGAAGCTTAAATATCTTAGTTAGTAAATTAACTTTACTATTATAAGTAAAAAGAACTTCTTTTTTTACTATTAAAAGGCTTACCTAGCTAGTTTAACTATTAGTAATATTAAAAGTAACTAGAAATACACTAGGTTATAGACTATTAGTACTATAAAGCTACTTATAAATAAACTACTAGTTTAAAAAGTAATATTATTAATAATAATATTATTAATACTACTTAAAGTAGCTACTAAAGATACTTATATAGCTTAGAACACTTATAATATAAAAGGCTAAGTATTAGCCTTATTTATAGTAAAGTAGTCTATACTAAAGAAAATAAAAGACCTTAAAGACTAATTATAGCTCTTTAGCTAGCTAAAATAAAGTATTATTATATAATACTAACTATTTATAAAGGTTAAAAAAGGCTTCTAAGAATAGTCTTATATACTAGCTACTACCTAGTAAAAAATTAGCCTTCTAAAAGCCTAAGTTACTAATAGTATACCTAAGAAATAAAAGGCTATTTATATAGATCTTAATATAAAGTTTATAATAATTAAAGAGGTGTAGTAATTATAGTAAAAGGCTAGTAAAGTTAAAAGTAATATAGATAAATCTAGTATATCTAAATTACCTAGTAAGGCTAAAAGCTGTATTATTATAGTATTAAGAGGTTATTAATAGTTAATTAAATAAAGTAGTGTTAGTTATAATAGCTTTATTTTTAGTATGCTAAAATATAGGGGGTGCTAAAAAGTGGGTAGGTTGACTTATTTTACAAACTCACTGAACCCTCTACATTCCCCGAAGCTGCTAACTGTGTCGTTTCAGCCTTCTCCCACGTTAGCGTTTGCACCGCTGAACTGTGGCACATGAGCAATAGAGAAAAAGCCCGGTTGGCCTCCCTTGATGTCATTCGCAGTTGTAAGTTCGGACAGGGCTAAACGGTTCCTAAGTAATACAATACGGTAAAAGTTAGTGGGCTTAAAAATATCAATGGTCAAGAGGACTCTCCACGCTATGCTCGCGGGATGTGGAGGCGGGCTGCCGAAGCAACCGTCTTGCGTCCATCTCCAAACCGCGCTGAAAGTAAGGTGAAGGCAATGATAACCATGCAAACGTGGACAATTTCTGTTTGAAACCTACTTGCCAGTCAATGCATTCCAGCGGATGGTGTTGTGGTATCTGACCTTTTGTTGTATTGAGTCGATATAGACTACTGGGGTCCCTCGGTATTGTAAGACGCATTCATCCTCGATAAGCCACACTTGCACCGTGGTCTATGACGGCCATCTCAAGATGTGAGAGAAATACGGCAAATTCGGCGGCGACAAAAAGGTAATCATTGTGCTTTATCAACCCGTCGATAGATGGGACTAGGAAGGAGTCCTAGTACGAAAACCGCTTTAAGGATGTATCGACAGACACCAGGTAATATTATACGGAGCAGAAATATGTTGCTAGGAATTGAAAGTATGTACAGGCCAATCGTGAAACTCACACGTCGACGGATCAATAAACAACCGGCCAGTCCGAATCGTAACGAATGAGGTTGATGCCCAACTGCGCCGTGCCGGCGTCGTTGTAGTAGTGATAGACGAGCACATCGGCGTCCGTGTCGGTGAAGACGGCGGGGTGGCCGGGCCCGTGGATGGAGCCGTGGCTCGCCATGATCTGGGTGCCGCCGCCGGACATCATTTGCCTCCCGCTGCGGTCGACGTACGGGCCCGTGACGCTGGTGGACCGACCGACCATGATGCGGTACGTGCTGGCGGCGCCGTTGCAGCACTTGTCGAAGGCGACGTAGAGGTAGTAGAAGTTGCCGCGGCGCGTGATGAAGGGTGCCTCGACGGCGCCGCCGGCCTCGGTGCGCCTGGCGAGGGACAAGAGGTTGGTGCCGGAGCGCTTGCCGGTGCTCGGGTTCAGCGAGATCATCTTGATGCCGGTGCCGAAGGAGCCGAGCGACAGCCACCAGTTGCCCTGGGCGTCGACGATGAGGTTGGGGTCGATGGCGTTGTAGTCGTTGGAGGGCGTCGTTTCGATGACGACGCCCTGGTTGGTCCACGACCCGGACGCGCCCGTGCTGCTCGTGGCCAGGAAGATGGCCGACTTGCGGGACCCAAAGGTCGAAGCCGAGTAGTACATGTAGTACCGGCCGTTGCGGTAGGAGATGTCCGGGGCCCAGAGGTTGGTGTCGCCGCCCGTGTAGGGCGTGGTCCAGGGCGCGCCGCCCGGGAACGCAACGCCGGCATCACGCCAGGCGGTCCGGTCGGTAGACGTCTTAAGCCCGATGTTGGGTGCCGTAAAGGCCATGAGGTATGTGCCGCCCGGGGTTTTGACAACGGTCGGGTCGTGGGTGAATGTGTCGCCCGTAACCCTACCCGGACCGGGATATTGGCCGTTGACGCCGGGCGCCATGGCCATGACGGCAAGGGCGGCTCCGATGAGTTGCTTCCACATGGCTAGTATCCCGAGTTTAAGGTTAAATGCGTAGCCGCTTGTCGATCTCTGGACTAGATGATGTGGTGCTGCTGGGACGGCTGGTTAAAGACCCTATAGCGCCACCCCGTCTCTTATAGAACTGTGCGGCACTTGCATCGAAATAACCCCTTTGTGTTCCAGTAGCACCGGTATCGAATCGAATCGACCCATACTGGCCGGCATCGTGTTTTCAAGCGCGCGACGGAATAATCGCCAACAGACCGCGGAGCTATGTCCCGTTTGGTGACTAGGTAGATTCGCTTATCAAATACGACAGCGGAAGGGGACGATCCTGTCACACTATTCTTTTTGTTGCCCCTTAATAAAGACATCACTTCCAGAGAACACTGAGCAAAAGAGGGGAATCTGATGGCTAGTCTAGGCGCCTAAATTCCCATCCGTAACAGTATGAATACGGAGCAGCAGCTGTAGGCGTTAACAGGGTTCGGTACAAATGGTGCTCGTGACTGTCTTGGGACTTGGAGCAGGGTAACATTATCCTCAAAGATACGACGCTAACCCCGGTCCATCGGGCAACGGTATTTCGTCCTTCGGGAAGGTCTTTGTGATAGTGGGCATTTCCGGATCCGTCGCCAATGTGGGGAAGCATTGCCGATGCACTGCGCCGTGAGAAGAGCAGAGAGACGATCTGGGATATATTAATTGGTGTCCAGAATGGCGTACCAAGAAACACGGCGTAGTGGTTGGCCGCATCCGCTCCAATGGCGGGAAGGTGATAGATCAAATGTTAATTAAGCGGCCCAATAAAACCAAATTTCACCTCACCCGATGAGGACATCAGATCGCCTTTACGGCGCAAAGAAGGAAAACCGCCTTTTACCCTCTTTATTTCCACCGTCCTGAGCATCCTTCGCCATTTGGATCTCTCCTGGAATGTTACGCAGACCACCCCCAATGGTTCAGTCGGCACGGTCATCGAAATAGCATTCACCCCTCTTTGGGTGCATCGAAGGTAACTCAGAGAGGGCGGGCAGAGTATATCGCACCAATTGGTGAAGCTCGTCCCGGGGGTATCACCGCTTGGACGGTGCCTGAGTGGACGTCATCTAGTTCGTCCGATCCAGGCTCGAGACAGCGAGATAGGGGTCATGGTGCCAAGAAGTTACGGTGTGCTTTACGAAACCTGAAGCCAAGATTGGGTCCGGAACCTGACCGACGCAAGGTAAGAACGTCCGTGGGTCAGATCACCAAGCGCAGAGATGTCAAAGACGGCACTACGATCGTAGGGCTGCAATGCAAGCATGGTCATGCACAGACAAACATCAACGCGGCTCATGAGTGGTGGCGCAACACTCATCTTGTAGGAACGTTTAGCATCGTGATGTCTATCTATCATTCATCATAGGCAGGTAAACGTGATACAGGACCAATGTCCCAGGTCCATGTCACCGGCATCCGCAACAGGTATCAGACGCTTCACCAAAACATGACAGGGGGGGGGCCATGGTTTTATGGCCGCACGCACAAGACGCGGGTTTAGCAAAGTCTGTCTAAAACACAAGCACAACAGCCCGTGCTGTCTCTACTTACCGCCTCATTGCTTCATCATCCCACATCACTCTCCCCTAGGTTTCCGGTCGATGGCCGGGCGTAGCAACTTGCAGAACCCGAGCCACAATGCCACCGAGACGAGGGGGAAGACGCCGGAAAAGTACAGCGAGAAGCTGTACCCCTTGTACTCGGCCATCCACCCGCCCAGCGACGACGAAATGGCGGCGCCCGTCTGGCGCGTCATGCCTCCGACGATGCCGAAAGTGACGTTGACCCTCCCTGTCCCGGCCATCATGACGGCGACCAGCCCGGGGATGGCCACGCTCTGGATGCCCGCGCCGACGCCGTCGAGGATCTGGACGGGCCAGATGCCCCAGTTTTCGATATAGCGGCCCGCGACGGCGGCGCGGACGGGCAAGACAACGTACGATACCAAGACGGTGAACCAGTACCCGTAGCGGCCGGCGAGCCAGGGCGTCACGAGCGACACGGCGATCATGGTGCCCTGCGCGATGATGACGGTCAGGCCGGTCGTGCCGGCCGGGTCGCCCTTGCCCATCGCCACGAGCCCCTGTCCGTAGAGGAAGAGGATCGCCGCGTTGCCGAGGTGGAAGAGGAAGACGGTGGCGCCGACGACGACGAGAGCCTTGTTCTTGAAGAGGAGCCCGAGCGGGCTGACGGAGAACCTCTGCTTCTTGTCCTTCAGTTTGGCGATCATGGTCTTGCGCGGGGAGGCGACGCCGCCTCGCTCCGCTTGGTCCTCGTCTTCCGTCCCCGACCTGCCGCTGTCTTGCGTATCCGGTTTTGAGACGGGGGATTCAGGCGCATCATCGACGGCGACGCCTCCCCTCGCGGCCGCGTGGTCGATCGCCCGCGCCGGCAGCAGGAAGACAGTCGCTATCGTCGCTGCGCAGAAGGCCATGACGAGCCAGAAGACGGCCGTAAGCCCGAAGCGCGAGCCCAGCGCGGCCGCCAGGCCCGCGCTGACCATGTTGCCCGCATGGTTGGCCGCCTGGTTGCGCCCGTTGAGGGTGCGGAAGGTGTGCTTGCCCTTGCCGTCGGGGCTGCCGACCGGGTCGGGAGAACAGATGCCCAGCGTGAGGGCGACGAGCAGGGGCATCAGCGTCGTGCCGGCGACGGCGGACACGATCTGCGTGGAGAAGACGAGAGCCGGGTGGGTCGAGAGAAGGTTGAGCCCCTGGGAGACGCCGACGAGGAGGGCACAGATTGCGGCAAGCAAGCGCTTGTAGCTAGGGAGGGAGTCGAAGAATCAGTCCCCCCTCTTGGTGAACACGGCACGCATCAAGAATCAGGAGGCTCCCCGCACTTACTCTGTCGCGTCGATGAGGGCGCCCACCGGTCCTGTTGCAAGAATGGTGGCAATGCCACTCACTGTGTTGACGAAGCCACGCAGCCCGGGGGCCCATCCGTGGTGCTGGAGGTAGACGCCGAGGAAAGGCCCAACCCCGTCCTGCACGTCTCCCATGAAGAAGGCCAGGAGGAAGAGGGCCCAACGGGCGCGCCTCATGAGCTTGGCATCTCTGGGGTCCTCCGGGCTCAAGTCTGCCTCGGCAAGTTCCTCGTCGAGACGGACGTTGGAGATGGTGGGCGGCGCCGACGCCGACAGGTTGAGCGGGACGCCCCGCTTGTCATCGTCGAACTCGAAGCTCAGGTTGACCGGACGCAGGGACTCGAGGCTGACGGCGTTGCGCGGGTTGATCTCGCGGCTCTTGGCGTCCATTGTTTTTCGTTTTTCGTCGTGGGAGGCAAACAGTCATCAAGAACAGTCATCCGTGAGGGCGAGAGACCGGGCTGCAGGGTGGCCATTCGTTATAAGAGGCACGGCCCCATCCCCCAGGACGATGGCAGAGATGGGAGAGACGGACGGGCGAACGCGGGAGGGGGTGACACGGACAGAGATCTCTACGTCAACGAAAGTTTCTACTCAACAGCCATGGCAAACTATGCTTAACTCAGACCGCCCGCGGGAAAAGTTTCTGCTTGACTAAGCCCCGGTCTGGAGACGTCTGGACATGGTTTACACGTCGTTGCGGACAAGGTTGGCAGGTGTGACGCGGATCTTGAAACGTGCACATATACAAAACACCCGTCCGAACGAAGAGACGACAAGAAGCAGGCGCTGCAGCTGAAAGTTTGGCTATACGGATCGAAGTGTCTTGGCATACATGTTGAAGTGAACGGCGCACATGACGGCACGCCGGCTGAAGTGGGTACAGACGCCAAAGCGTCGGTATAGAATGTAGTGACGTACGGTTGTTGCGATCCAATAAGGGTCCTGTCGCGATGTTGCGCAAGAAGAAGAGGTTATATTTTTGGGTTGGACCCCTAAACTAACGCTCCCTTTTGGTCAGCCTGGCTCGCCAGGAAAGAAACTATCTCCGAGACGCAGAGAGCAGTGAAGAGAAATCTACCGCACAGCCGACGAAACTCAAACGGGTATTATTTTGGCGCGGCGAATATGTTATCTGCGTAACGGGGACGGCAACAAGTAATGGGCACCTAGGGCCATCACTTGCTCCAACTTTTGAGTTGCGTCTCGGGTCGTCAAAATTATAATTCCGTGACATAGTAATGGGATGGCGATGAGGAGCTTGATCAATGAATGATGTCACCTCCAACAAAACAGTAGATTCTTCAATAGAGACGGTGTTTGTGTCAAGGTACCGGTCAGTGATCGCTGTTATGAAGATGCTGTTCCCAAATGGATACATGTAGGTTACCAAGTGAAGCTCATGAGAAGGGGGAGGGTCAGTAGGAGGGTCACGTGACTGAGTCACGTTGACGAGTCACGCTACCATATCACGTGAAAGGTCACGTGTCAGAAAGCTACGTGAGGTCAGTTCCGGTCCATCCACATCGCTGTGTATGCCTGGCATTATAACAGATGCAAACGCAGAATATTATCTAACTACGAGACAGTCTACAGTACATAGATTCCTTGGACCGTGTCATTGGGTGAGGCGTCGTTTCTCTATAGCTGCCCCTAGAGGCCCTAGCAGTACGTCTCTGCCCAGCCGAACAGCCATGTCCAACAGACCCTCGCCGTTTGGGCCTGGCTTTCTTGGATCGGCCCCGTTCTCCAGGAGGAGCCTTACAAGCTCCAAGGAATTAGAGCGTTGGTACGCTGAGATGTCGCGGTCGATGACTGTGGACAGCGGCGTCCAACCTTGGTTATCTGCTGCATCAGGGTCGGCACCGTGTTGCAATAGGACGGAAACCAGCGTTCCTTCTCCTGCTCGTACCGCTTCTAGCAGCGGGGTTCGACCAGTGTCGTCGCGAGCGTTGATGTCGAAGCCCTGTTCAAATACCCATTGAACAAAATCCAAAAACGCGTCAGAAATATTATATGTTTCCTTTGAACACACAACATGAAGGAAGGTTTGACCCTTGTTGTTTCTATGCGCGACATTCACGCCTGCCCCGATCATCAACTTCGCGTTGAGTGGGGATGTGCTAGACCAGGCGCTCATTTCAAAAAGAGGCGTTTGGCCGCTGTAATCGGAAATTGTGAGATCGGGTTTCTTGTCCAGAAACCTTTTGAAATTGTCTCTGTTCCCACTGCCTTCAAAAACAGGTGTCTGCCCACGGTTGTCTCTGTGGTTGATGTCGGCGCCGTGGGAGAGCAAAACATCCAAACAAGCCATTTCGCGTCGCAGCACAGTGTAGAAAAGCGGGGTTTTCCCGTTGTTGTCGGTCGATTGGACGTCGGCGCCTGCTTCAATCAAGAAAGTAGCAGTCTTGAGGTCGTCGTTCGCGCAGGCAAGACGAAGGGGCGTCCTTCCTTCCCAGTCCCGTGCGTGAAGGTTTGCGCCCGCTTCCAGTAGCAGCTTTACAAGTGCCAAGCTTCCATATCTGCAGGCCTCCTGAAGAGGAGTCGAGCGGGTTTTGTCGACGGTTTCAAGCTTGGCGCCATTCTCCAGCAATAACTGTACAACGGCCTCCTCGCTGCTTGCAAGCAATGTCCAAGGGTGTGCCTCCGTTAGGGTTGACAGTCTGGGTGTTCGCGCCAGATTGTAGCAGAAGTCTTGCAATCTCTTCGTTTCCAGTCCTCGCAGCAACGGTGAGAGCCCACGAAACGTCTTCCTCGCACTTCTTGCTCTCAAGTATCCGAGTCTTGCCATCCCCAGGCGATGGAACAGTGCCATCATCGAGCCCTAGAAGCCTCTCTTCTCCGTTATGTTCTTCTTCCGATGATGCCTGGCTTGATAGACCTCGAACACTTGAGAGATTTGATCTGAATATGGCCCGCTTGTGCAGATAGAGCCTCATAAATTTTACATTGCTGTTCTCCACAGCTCGGACAAGCGGGCTTGCGGGAAGACGTTGCATATGGAAGGTGGGGCTTGCGCCTAGTTCGAGAAGTCTTTCTGCGATATCAGTTTCTTTGCTTTGAGCGGCATGATAAAGTGCCGTTTGTCCCTTTTCGTCCCTCAAGTCGAGAATCGTACTGATAGAACGCCAGCTGCCTCTCAGCTCTTCACTGCCACTTAAATCTGGCTTCGTTCCGTTGGCGACTTTTTCAATGAAATCAAGTAGAGCATTAGCTGTATTCTTGTGGCCCTCGCTGATAGCTGCGTGCAGTGGGTATGTGTAGCGACCTCCGGCTACATCAATTTTAGGGTGCTCATCAAGTACTGTCAAGGCCAGGTTCGTCAATCCTTTTGATGCGAAAATGTACAAAAGGCCTGTAGAGGAAGGCTTGTGTCGGCGAACCATGGCTTTCTCAAACAAGTTGTTCATCTGTATCCAGGGGTCCACTGCAAAACCCTTGACGAATTCTTCTTGTGAGATCCCGTGGACCGCCGCGGCTTCGGCATGGTGTAAAACCAGATTCGTTGCGTACTCCAGAAACGGAAACCGCTCGGCCACTTTCTCCCTCGAACTTTGGGCATTTTCTTTGGAAGTCTTCAAGAGAAACTTGTCTTCCGGTAGGTAAGCCGAGATGTTAACCTGCGTCGAGTACGTATGGCAACACTCCTTCAACCTGTCGTGGCTTCGACCTTCAAAGTTGTCTCCCATGTCGGGCCAAAGAGTACGCAGACCGTTATCCTTGAGAAGGAAGTCCCGTACTGACTCATGGATGAACTGAACCGTCCTGTCATCTGACTTTGTCGTCTCGGCAAGCCCTTTGGATGAACTGACAATCAAGCGGTCCATGAACTCGTGAGTGATATCCTCAGGATCCCATTCTCCTAGGGTACCAGGCTCTAGACCCGACACTATGGCGAAGTAGTACTCTTCCCGCTTCAGCGGCCTTTGACTGTAGAGCAACAACTGGATGCAGAGGAGTAAATCCTCCATATCCTCTTGATCTCTCGTTAGGATGTTCTGGAACAGCTGGCTCAACTCGGAGGGTATTTCCTTCAGTCGCTTTTCTACTGCGAACAGCCGACCTTTCCGGTACTCCTTATTTAGGATTTCGACGACCAGAACAACCCACATGAAAACGCCAGAAGCTTTCCGCAGAATCTCGGCAATCACCTGCTCACTCTTTGGTCCAGAGCCAGCCCGGAGTTCGCTGCGCACGTACTTCTCCAAGTCTTTCCCGTGTCCAGACTGATCTTCCAGAACGAGCTTTTGGCCATAGACGATATCGATATAAGGGTAATGGCGACTGGATAGGCAGACGTAGAAACTGATGTCGTTTTGCACCGCATACTGCCCAAGATCCTCAAAACATTTGACCATGTCCGAGACCTCATTGTCATCACACTCGTCAAGAGCATCAATGAAGCAAGTCAACTGTCGTTGTCCTAGTCTCCGGACTGCGCTGCGGAAGAGACTTCTGAGTTGATCGAGGCCCCATCCCTCAGAATCTAGCTGGTCCAAGGGTATGAGATCCGGGTCGTCAAGCAACGTCTGCAGGTCAGGCACACTTCCCAGAAGCTGATGCAGCAGGGACCGATACATGCCCAAAGTCGTTTTCTCTAGGACTTCGCCTCTGGCGTTGAAGAAGAAGGAGATCAAGAGCTTTTTTTTGCCCTTGCTTCTTTTTGCTCGGTTGAAGGCAAACTTCATGAGAGTCGATTTTCCAGCACCAGGCTTTCCCCTCATCCAAAGAAAGCCGTGGTGCTGAGAGTACTTCTGGCGATCCATCCAAGCTGCATAGTCAGGATGTTCAACCAGCCATTCGCAAGTCCTTGCGTGGGCGGCTTTGATGTTCGCTTGCCGTTTGTCGATTTGACTGAATTTGAGGGAATCTAGCAGTTTCTCCCTGTGTTCTGGTGGTGGCGGTGATTGAGCTAGTTAATAGTGAGCATCGATCGGCCCAGATATTGACCTCTTTAACTCACCAGTGTCAGGCACTGCATCTTGTACCGTGGGGTCGACATCCCCGTGTGGGGTGACAAGAAGAAGCTCCTTTGCATACGCTGCTGCCGTCGCAGCCGCGTATCTCTGCCACCGTTTCGCTTTGTGGCTGTCCGAGTAGTCGCAGATCCCGCGTACGACTAGACACGGAAAGTTATCCATCAACCCAGCCGCCTCCATCTCGAAGCAAATGATCCCCAGGTCTTTAGCAATACGGTCTCTTGTCTGCGCATACTTCATGACCTGGTTCCCAGATGCAATAACCCCATAATGAATTTTCGGTGTAGCTGCTGCTGGCCGCGGATCACGTTCTACTACCTTGGAGACGTCGCAGTCATCGCAAGTGTCTCCGCCAGTATGTTCGTACGAGGCCTGGAACAACCGATCTTCATCCATGCTTTGATGCAGGTAATCCGACATGTAAGGATTATGCCATCCCATGTCGGCTAGGATTGCCGGAATCTGGCTCGGTCGTGTTTCGTGGTTGGCGCGCAGCTTAGAGACCGCCGCCAGCACCGATCGTGGGGGTTTGTTTAGGGTGCCTGTATACTCAAACCGGCCGTCATGAACAGCTTTTCCAAAGTCGTATTGCACCACACCCGAGGAGCCTCCAGTCGGATTACTGACAACCACGTCCCCAAGGCGTATGTCGACCTTACCAGGGACTCCGCCACCAATGCCGACCATCAACCCAATACATATCGAAGGGAAGCTCCAGCGCATGTTGTTTGCTACCACCGCCGCGCTGTTCGTACCGTACTGTCCCGACGGCAAGCATGCGATGACAATGTTGTGGGGGCCTATGCGACCGAACGTATACACGTTGCTATCGTTGGCGTTCATAGCCAGAGGTTCGTGCGTGTCGTCTAACATGGCTTCTGCTGCGGCCATCTCGAGGGGAAGCGCGCATACCCAGCCCACAGTGTAGGCTTCGTGCGAAAGCTTGACTGCCCTGGAGCCGGGATGATCAAGAGCTGTACCAGCCAACCTTGGCCGTTTTGGAAGCGTGTTCGTGAATTCATCGTTGTCGCCGATTGCGTGCTCGGTCCGTTTCTTGTCGAAATTTCTCCGTGCCCCCTGGCAGTGCGGATTGAATCCGGCTCGATCGTGGTGATGACTGTAGTCAGCCATTGTGAGCAGGCTGCGAGCAAGGTTTCACCGCAGCCGGCTCGCCCTCGTCTTGCCAGTTCACTATGTGTAATAGAAATTTTCGCGAACGACGAGTTTGCCGCTGCCGCGCTCGAGACCATGAGCCCCAGCAGCTGCAATGTCAGAGGGGCGATGGGTGAGGCTGCTGAACCAAGCTTGGGATGGATAAAGAGTTGAGAGGGAGAAAAACAGGCGAAAGTATGGCGCCTATCGCGCTGACTTGGTGGAGTGCAAAATCAGGCTGCATAAACACAGCCTCGAATGGAGAATGGAATTGGTTGCCGCGAACGCATCCCATTTCCATTCTAAGCCACTTTCGGATAATCGACTGATCTATCATATAACTTTAGCTGCATGGCCATCACATGGCCAATCACGATCCGCTGATGGGTAGGTCGGTATGCACGTCGATGCTACTTCGCACCAACAGTCCCAGCTAGGGTTGTGTACTTTGGTGCTTTCATTGTGATCTTGTTTTACTCTAGGGACGCGTTCATCATTCACAACTTAAGCTCGTGCTTTTGGAAAATTAATCAATCAAAACATTTTTCAATTATATGTGGTCACGATTTCACTCATAGGTATTGGCTGTTAAGATGATCACTCGCATGCAAGCAGACGTGACGTAACATTTGGTTTCCTTGCCTTGATATGAATATTCCCCTGCCTGTTTTTAATAATAATAGATTATTATTTTACAATTTTTCGCGTCAATTCGACAACTCGACAGGAATGTTGAACATCAGAGGATGTAGTAATGAATACCAATAATAGCAAAACATCGACAGCTACGATGTTGGGGCGGGCAACAGTTGGTCTTGAAACATTTGATTCTTGACCTAGGGTTACCCTGAAAGTGACATGGTTCGATCAAGGTGAAATGCAAATGATTTGTTTGCAATGAATCTAGACTAGTGAAAGGAACTTACCTTGGATGTGTGAGGTATCCTATCCAACTGCTGTTGAGGTTGAATCGTCGACGATATATTGGACATCAAGAATAGCTGCGAAGCATTCTTTCGTATTATTCCCTAGAACTTTCATCGTATTTAGGTTGAATTCGAACAGTTCAAGAAAGCCTGTATTAATGATTGGTTATTGTTGCGATCAGGTCGAAGTTTGCCTCCTCGGCCTTCGGTCAGTGCCGATGCCTTCATGCAGACTGATGTCACAAGCAATGTACTCAAATATTAGAACCTTGCCAGAACTGCACAGGAGAGAAGTGAAATTCCAAACCTGGACAGTTTAACCCTGCACGTCAAATTAGCAACCTTTTCAGCAATAACGAAGCTATCGATTCAATGTGTGACTGTGAATCAACATCCAGCAGCAGTTGCCACTAATTATTCAACTGAGTTAGCGTTATGGTTTCCGCATTGAGCCGAGAGAGATGCCTGTCCAACCCGTGCTTCGCCATGGGCACATGTCCCTTGAGGACAATTTACAAAAGGATCGCGATGGCAGAGATGTCTCTGATAATGGCACGTCACACGAAACTTCAACTTTCAAGGCGGTTAGTACTCAGGGGTTTGCTGTTGAATCACAAAACAATTAGCCCTTGGTTTCATCTGCGAGATCGAAGGACGCGGCGGTGGCGAAGAAGCTGCAAGATATAATGTTCTGATTTATTAGCTCGATTCATCGCGAATGCAACTACCCTGATGCTAGCACGGCGAGGCGGATTCCACACCAAAACATATTAGATTCCCACAACATAAGCTTTTCTTCACTGCTCCGAAATTCTAATTGATCGATTATTTAGGTAACTTCTAAGTGGATGTGACGGACACTCCCGTCAACTCTATTTGGCAAACAACGTTCACATCCCCGAGACGAATCGTTCGACTTGGGTGGAAAGAATCGGCCGAAAGTACGACTTTCTTAGATCGACTGTGGTATGGGGATCCGTCGAAAGGACTCTCAAATAAGGAGCTTCGTAGCAAACAGTCGGCATTACCACTGGGCGCAACCGGCTGAAATTATGCATGGTAAATAGCTGTCACGAGTTAGAGCACACAGCAGGGCATATGAGGATTTAGGTCTAAAAGGCTTATTTCTATGTATTAAGTGTAAGTAACGAAAGTGAGGTCCCATATATAGGGAAGTGAATGTGAAACACCACGTGCCACAGCACCTGACAGGGCTTCACAGAAGGTGGAAATGCATGAGGCTATCGTGACAATAGCCTAATAGCGAGCGAAGCAAAGCGCTGCAAGCCAGACCGGGTTGGCCATTGGACCCGCCTAATGGCCCGGGACGTAATGTGTGCCAAGATCACCGAGCGATATCAACTAGTACTAGTAGGACACGGTGGCCCGCAAGCAGAGGCTGTACACGGTTTGGCGTTGAATGCTCCATCGCAGCGGCACACGCAGTCTTCGGCTGAATCTCCTGCGAGAAACCCTGAGATTGCTCATGTCAGCTAGCGTCATATCTCTTCAATTTGCAAACACTCACAACAACAATTATCACCGTCTCTACCAGATAGTTGCTGAAGCTAGTTTCAGGTAAGGGATTAGCTTATGATCAGTCGAGGCTTTGGGGAGAACGTACTGCCTATCGGATGTTTAGTATATATCTCGTCGTGGGATCCTATGTTATCCTAAACTTACTCGTTCTTCAGGTGACTTTCCAAAGCCCGGCTCCGGAGTCCTCGGTGGAGTTGCAACGCAGAGCGTAGCGAGACCGGCAAGCAATGGGAGACTGAACTTCATAGTGGACTTTCGGTTCGGGCTGGGGCGTCGACGTCGAATTAAGACAGTAAGATGGAATTCTGAACAAATCAAACTTTTGCCCTCGAAAGGTCCAATACCATTTATATGTGTGTATGTGTTGATGCCTGCGTGTCTGTGCTTTGATGTGATTACATGTTTGGCAAGCGTTCGCAGGGGGCGAGGGCGACGAGACTAATAAAGATCGCATGTACAAGCTCCAAAACCGTTCTTGACGACTCGTGTGAAGTCGACGGGGGGGCAGCCGTTGGAGGGTATCGTGGAGCGCCCTCCAGCGATTGTCAACTTTAGACGAATCAAGAACCCTGCCACGGGCGAGGATATGACTCACGTCCATACAGATTTGAAACCATTACCCTTCGGCTTGTTCGGGAGGTACGGATACTATAATCAGGAGTTGATTCTATATATCCACTGCAGATATATGTACTCCGTACGCTGTCACGCAAAAGACGACGCCGTTAATTCCGGGCAGCACAACTAACGCCTTACCGTATCCTCTCATCAAATACGAAGTCCGCACAGGCCACAGGCTGCTGGAAAGGGGTAAGCGGGCTGGCAGAAACAGGGATCTAGATGTAGCATATGCTGGGAGTCATTTACGTCATCAGCAAGTTAGGTGGCAAGGGTTAGGGTTACATATGTGAATGTGTGTGTAGGTAGGTTGACCGCCTTCTGTAATAGGACTAGCGTACGGCTTGTGCAGACTTCGTATTCGATCCAGATCACAGGTAGCCCCGCTTATGTGGATCTGCTCTAGAATGGAAGCCATAGCCGCCCAAAGGTCCGCACTCAGAACTCCCCTAGGGCAGATACTACTACAACTCTTCAACCTTCTAATTAAGTACATCTCGCCAAAGTCTAGGTGGTTGCTGTCTGCCTTATCTAGGTAGCTGCAGTATTTGCGACCTGTCCCTGGCCTTGACAGGATTTGAACCTGTAGGGTCTATGAAGCTTAGACGCTAGCTCAAGGGCTGTACCATTAAGGCACACAGCGCAAACTGGGCTTATAACAGTCATAATGCACTTGTTTAATCACAGAAAGTCCTAGAAAAACGGCTTGACTATCCCCGCTCTAGACTGCCTGTTTAGGCTTGTAGGTATACGTGTCAGTATAGTGGACCTGGGCGGTGGGTCTGGATTAACAGATGTTCTGGCACTGGTTGGATCCCTACAAGGCTGCGCGATGTCGTGAAGGCACTGCGACGTACGCACTTTGGTCACATCTAAAGCTGGCGGTAGTGTTGGCTTTCGGTTGCCTTCATGATGCGCATCACCGACATTCTTGGCACTACCTGAGTCTGTATTATGGAGGAGACTCCAATCTAGCATCAAGTCAGGAGATGGCGAGCAGATCGTACTCGAGTCTCATGCCCTTGCAATTTGTGCCATCTCTTGGGGGCTTTTTGCGCAGACCCACTAAATTACTACTTTGCCAGTTGTCGCAAGGCGATAGGCCTCCCATACTGGTCCGAACGGTACGTTGTTTCTTCTAGGTACATCATGCGGTATCTCGTGTGCTCAAGGGCATATAAATACCGCGTGGGCATATAATGGGCCCATAAGAATACCCCTGCAACCGGCCCAAGTTCCTCCGTGATACCAGTATTGCAGTGGAAAGCGAATGACCATATGGTGAGCACCCTTCGGTGGCGCACCCACGATCATCCGATGTTTGGCAAAACAGCTTTGCTCTGATAAGATATGCTACTCATAATCAGCGCTGTAGTAAGTTCACCCAACCCAACTTTGCCCTTGAGTTTGGTTGGCTGAAGTGAAGCTATTCGCAAAATTGACTGTTCGGTTGGGTTGTTCTGGATTCAGCGCTGTTGATAATTTCTTTTGTGATATCCCAGCTCAGTGAGTTGACCCCTGCTATTTGTGACGGCTCCTAATCTTGGGGCAATTCACCTTGCTCTATGCATGCTTTCTGACTGCCGAAGGCTTCTGATCATGAGAGTAATGACTAGAACCAGCGCAATGATCCAAGTTCATTCCCATTCGACTGGATCTCTGCTGCCAATTAATCACTGGTAGGCATATTGAGAATAAGCAATTGCGAGCTCTTGGTAAATCATTCACAAATGGCTACCAGTCACGACAAATACATACATCGAGTTTTTGATCCATTAGTGAAGCCCGCACTCAGTCCTGTAGATATCTATAATACATGGGGCATTGGGCGACCCAGAATGTGCTTTCTTCTAAGGCATCGTGCAGCGGGCTTAGGCACCACACACTGCCCTTTTTCGAATCTTCCCGAACAGGCTGCCATATTGTGTCAGGGGCAATATATTTAGGAGCTCTACTCCATGCCGTTACGTCGACCCGCATCAAGTCCCTGATCACCTTGTTCCATCAGGCATGTCATGAGTCATGACTAAACACTAACTGATAGCAATGTCCCATCACGCTGTGAAAGCAAGAAGGCCAGTGTGGAAAACACTACTTTGAATGGTTAAGCCACTATTAAAACGTTCAGATACCTTTCAGTGAACAAGGGAATACAACGTTGCTATGGAGATCTTGGGTTCTAGCTGGCTGCTTGCTGGGATAGCGGGGAGGAGAAACATGCATATCAAGAAGTCAAGTCTGGGTAAAATCTCGACATTGCAAGAGATGAGAATGTGCCGTATAGAGAGTTTCCGAAGGACTTTCAGAATGACTGGGGAATGACAAGGAACATAGTAATATAGTAGACATACGCTGGTGCTAGTGCGTAGTGCGTCGTCGAGAACGCACGTGGTGTCTTGCATTTGCGTCGAAACTTAGAAACAGGCTAGACCCAAGTCAAAAAGCCACATCAGACAAAAGCGCGGGTAGTAGAGGTCAAAATAAGCTTATTATGCGTAATCATGTATTAGATTTTCACTTTTACTATAAACCATGCAGTATTTGCATTCCAGGGGGTTCCCAAGTGTAGACGATGGCCAGAGTGGTAGGGAGAGCGATGGGAGCGAAATGCACCTTAGATTGTTGGAGTTGATTGAATGTCCCTTTCGTAAAATGACGAAGAAGAGATGCTGCTACCGGTAATAGTCATTTTTAGATTGTCGTTTACTCTAGGGAGGAGAACAATGATCCAACTTGTACCCCTTCATCTCAGAATATTCGGCGCGCATCGTGGAACTCGCGGAAGAAACTGGACATATTGGACATGCCTTTCCATTGACACCGTTGTGCCACGCTTCTATAAAGATATTGATGCGATGTAAATGACGATATCTCTTGATCCATGGCATTTTGTCTATTTTCTACAGCGCCTGGACTCTGGTTTCTGGGTAGCCTTTTCAGTAGCCAATGTTGTGTTAGTCTTAGATATATACACGGCGTTCAAACAGTCCCGCGCCTTCTTAGCACCGATACGGCATTTACCACATGCATCACAAGGAAATAGGACATCAAGTCATCCACATGATTTCGACTTAAGCACCTACGTAGGAATTTAGTCTGGTAAATGGGACTAAGTGTAGCACTAACACTGGCAGCAAGTTTACTAGTCCAAAAGCGCTGCTCATCACTCTTTTCAGCCTACCTGCCCGAATGAGTTTGTCTAACGTCGTCATTCTCGATAGAGGAGACCTTCAACACGAGGACATCAGTTACTGTTGTGTTTCTTCTTCATTTCATCCTTCTAAGAGACTGAGAAGCAAACATTGTCCTACTTACTGCCTTGATCACACTCAGGTTCGCCTCCGTAGTATCCAAGGGGAAGAGGCCTTCACTGCAGCGGCTGAAGATTGATCCAGTTCAGGTGCGGAAAGTTGTGTTGCCGTTGCTGCATGTCTCGGGCTCTTCGACATGTCGCTTGAGATCCAGGTATTGATGAACACTGGGAGAAAGCGAGGGATTTAGTAAGAGATTGAGGCGGAGATCAGACCAAGATTACAAACCTTCTGGAAATCAGGAGCGTCGAACTCAGGTCGACCCTTCTTTAAATTTGTCGACTGACCTCGTTTGAGTTTCCAACAGAAGTCGGGTTTCGATTCGTCTGGTGCTATAAACTCGAGTCAGATGTGCCAATCGAAGCGAGGAACCTAGTTTTAGATAAACCATAGCGGCTACTTTTTCAACTTCAATAAGATCGAATATCTTTCAGCATTTCCGCAGGGTGTATTGAGTTCTATTGGTTCTCAAACGGCGACCAATGGCCAGTGCCAACTGACAAGGGATGGATAAATTGGCCAAGTAAAACCCCATAGAACCCTTTACCCGCAAAGCGCAGAGTGTACCAATATGAAATGAAGCAGTTATCTTTAGTCTTTGAGTAAATTAGAACATGGCCAAGGGCAATAAAACATCGGGAACATGGTGGAAGCATCTAGCTGAAATCGCTAAACCATGTCAGAAACAAGAGCCGATGAACTTTCGGCATTGCTTTCGCATTCTTTGGCCTTTTGAGTGTGGGCACCACAATCAGATGTATCAGATTACGCATGATGGCGTGTAATTTGTGACCCTGCCGGTGTAAGTTGAGTATACTGCCTGTACTCTATCCAAGTACAATATCAATGGTGGGAGCTTTGAGAGCATCCCATATTTCCTTGCATACTCGGCCAAGACCCTCTCGATAGGCAATCCCGTCCCTCCAACTTATCCACATGACGTTGTAGAACTCATACCGCTGGCCGTGCTTCGGTCGCTCCTCTATGGTGTACTCTACGAAGTCACTAGCGCCGTACTCGAGGTTGTTCGGGATGAAACCTTGGGATATGGCAATTAGCTGCACTTTGACAGGGCTCTTCAGAGGATCCAACTTCCGGGTTCCCAAGTAGCCATGGCTGTGTAATCGCAGTATCCCAGCCCACTCGTTCCAGGTTGTGTATAGCGACACATGAGGAGTCTGTAGACTTTTCTGCGCAAGGTTGGGAATGCTATGCATCCACACTGCACCACGGATTGTCAGGCGTGCCACTTGCACAGAGCCGAATAGGTACATCTCGTCGGAGACCGCCGAGCTGCCTTGCTGATATGAATAGGTCGGATCAGATAGCGGTACAGGGTACCAGAACCTCGCACCGCAAGATGTGTGATGGTACAAATACTCGCCGAATCCGTCTGGGGGTGTCTCGATCGTCAACCGCTCGTCCTTCCGTCGTTTTGTTCGTGTCCACCCCGGAGGTAACTTCTCACTCAGGTCCCTGTATCGTTCTCTCCATGCCGCCCACTCAACTTCTATCTGTCTTTTGTCCATCTCTCCGGAGCTACTAGCGCTGGTGTACCACTTAGTGATTGGGAATAATTGCTGTCTTGTTGGAGCAATCCAACCGCTGCACGCTGCCACGAAGTCATTTCCGGTTGCCCAGTCCGCGAAATCAAGACAGCCCTGCCATCCCACCCAGGACCACGTCGGGAGGTTGCTAGTGCTGTTAAAACCGAGGCTCATGCTCATTTCAACTGGTTCGCGCCGCACCAGATCGCCAATAGGCTGCCAGAGTAGAGCTGCGTCGAA